TCATATTTTTTACTGGGGTGGTGCCAGAAATTTTAGGGGGGGGTGAGCCGTGAGCAGGTGACTGAAGCAACACAAAGTGTCACCAAACCCCAGTAAGGTCTATATTCTAGGGGTGGAGCACTTAGGAGCCGCGAGGAGGAGTCTAGAGAGCAGAAAACAAAGTATTGGAAAATTTTGAAAAAAAATCATGATTTCGAGCTTCGAAAAAAAGTTTTTTGAAGTTGTCATATCCATGGGTTTGGCATGTCCGATTGTCTGTTGAAACTTGAGAGAGTTAAAGTTAAGTGAACCTGTAAAAGTGTAAACCCAATAGGCCAATACACAATATGCTTTTACTTTTATAAAGTCATTGACATTGTGTCGTAAAGATTAAATCTAGGCAAGTCTATTTCTTAAAAGAATTAAAAACTAAAAATAATGTTCGTAAAAATTCCAAACGTTCCTTGCAAGCAAGCTATTTGCATGACAAGGCACTGCAAACTCTATTCAGGGGAGATAATAGAGTTTCAAAACTTTACAATTGCTCCAATAAACCAGTGAATGCAAGCGAGGAGCGATTAGTTTCAGAGTATTGCACTGTCTTTTTCTATTTGAGTGTACTCCTACGTTTATTTTGTATCATCAACACTCTGCATGTTGGAGTGGACTATTTAATTATTTTTTATTATGCCGAATATTGGGGGGGGGGTTGAAAATTTTTTGGAGGGGTGGACATTTTGTTTGGGGGGGTTATAGCTAATATTGGGGGGGTAGCACCCCCCTGCACCCCCCACAAAATCCGTCTATGTTTTAAACACAGAAATCACTCGTGGTCACTTGTGGTCATTCATGTGTACTTTTAGACAAGATCGATTACTTTAGTATGCTGTTTACATTTCCATAAATATAATTTTACCACACATACTAACGGAACATAATGGCAAATAGCATACAGTCAGTATAAACTATAGTGTAGACTGCAGAAAATGTAACTGAAATTGCAGACTTGGCATATAATATGCAAACTTTAAAAACTCATTAATAATTCGTGAGGAAAATACAAAAATGAATGTTTAATCAATGTTTGTAAATCGGATAGCTTTGATTTTCTCGGCTTAGACAATGTTTATTTTTAAAATTTCTTCGCCAATGAATTTAAAAGATGATTCGCATCCGATCTTTATCTGATATACAAACTCTCGCCTTCGGCTGCTCATGTTTTAAACTAGTACATATTGAATAAACATGACTATATCGATCGGTAGAAAATATAATGCATGAGCCTTCAATTTCCTTAATTTAAAACCAATCGCCCAATTTAGAACAAATCGCAATCACTAAAATATCTGTGTTGCGTGATTGAAATGTATAAGCTTTGCAGCGCTATTTATAGAACTATAACATTGAACTACATTGTTTACCATATCGACATATTGACAGTATATAGCGCTTGATCAGATCACGATCAGATGCTTACGCATGTGCTTGGGTTGAACGGCATATTGTAAACACTGGACTGGACTAAGTTTGGACTGGGCTGGACTTTGGACTGGACTGGACTTTGGACTGGACTCTTGACTTAAACGTTTCTTTTTACAGTAATTTTTCGCATAAATCCCCATAATTATCGCTAGAAACAACGAAAAGGAGTTCGATAGGTCCAATACAACAACTTACGTCGTGTCTGCAAGATTATGCATGCCAATTTCATTCCCAGAGCGTGCCCGTTCGCAGGTTAGGGTGGATTGTACGCATGCTCGGCAATTGTTGCAAAATATAAACAAAGTATTTCGAAAATTAGAATTTCTCGTCGAAAATCTGATACTTTTTTAACTGAAATCAATGGACCTTTCCCCTTATAACTAAAATTTCGATCTAGACAAAAATTTCATCACAGCTTGAAAAAGCATCACAAAATTAGTAGTATTCCAAAGTTTTGTTGCAAAATCTTGTAAAATGCGGAAAATATAGCCTTGCGAAGTTTGCCGTTTTTCAGTCATTTTGTATTACAAACGGGAAATTGACATACGATTCGGGTGTTGGGGCTGCAATTTCCCGTTTGTAATACAAAATGACTGAAAATTGCAAACTTCGCAAGGCTCTATTTTCCTCATTTTACAACATTTCGCAACGAAACTTTGGAATATTACTAATTTTGTGATGCTCTTTCAAGCTGTGATGAAATATTTGTCTAGACTTGCCTAGATCAAAATTTTGGTTATAAGGGGAAAGGTCTATTGAAAACAACTAAAAATTCTGGGGGAAATATGCACGAAAGCTCGGATTGATAGAGATACAACTACCTGAAAAATACAAGGAGAACTTCGACGTTTCGAGCGAAGGCACTTCGACTTGTACTGTTATTGTTAATGTTTGTACTCGTATCATGATAAATATAATCTCCTCAACAACGAGATAATGTTTACTGCGAAGTGTGGACCTAACACTACGTATACCATAAATTCTGACAGGATAGTAAAATTTAACGAATTGCTATGTCACACACTATGTCCGGCAGCCGGACAATGTTCTGAAAAAACTAAATGTCCGGCAGTAGTGACTATAGTTCAATATAAAAACGTTTCTTTGCACTAGTTTTTACAGAGCTTGCCATTAGCTCATTCGGCAGAGGCGCTGCCGGTGCGAAAAGTGAACCGCAGTTGGGCTCGGGATGTGTTTCGTCCGATCTATCACTGTTGTTTTTTCTTAAACTCTTTTCAACTTTTTTCCCAGCTTTTCTAACTCTTTTAAGGTTAAGGTTAGAGAATTAGGGTTTGGGATTGGTTTATCTTTAAGAATTCAACTTTAACTACAGTCACTATATATACTGCTGGACATTTAGTTTCTTCAAAATATTGTCCATTTGTCCGGCTGCCGGACATATAGTCTGTGATATAGTCACTTCGTTAAATTTACGAAGTGACTACATGACCGGCAGCCGGCTATCTAGTAACGCATCAGTCAATTCTAGCATTGCCCATCCCCCCCCCCCCGGGCATTTGCACTTTTTTTCTTTAAGTTGACAATTCCCGGGGGTCGGGCAGAAAAAGCGTGGCAATGCCTCGCCCCCGGGCAAAAAAAGGAATCCCAAAGGCAAAATGTCCGGGCACCCCTTTAACTGGGGCAGCAGGGCAAATTGCCCCCTCCACCCTTCTGGGCGGTTGTTCACGCGTTCCCGCAAAACAAACCCCGCAGATTTTACAGTAAAACCATACGATCGAGACATAGGAAATACTGTCCCCGAAACATTTACACTTTAGAACAACTCCACATGTACTGCACCTTATAATTCTTGTGCTGCACTTCAGTCTTGCAATTTTGACAGGTAATGGTTCTTTTTGAACACGCTTTCTTCAAATGATGCTCCAAAACGTTTCTCTCCACATTTTGGTTGCAGCCTTTTGGACATGGAACTTCAACAAACTCACATATTTTCAAATGTTCCTGGAAATATTGAAAATGAATATTTCCAAACTACATCCATATAAGTATCATCTGTGTAACCGCGCATATCTTCCACAAGACATGGTATCGTCGTACGGCCTTCGAAAGCAGGGGGCGTCACTGATATCGTTTTTTTGTCACTGATAACGCTTTTTGTCCCGCTATACTTGTCACTGTCAAAGCAAGGATGTGTATCAAGCCTATACTCAGAGCCGTTAGGGCTCAGAATTTTTCTGTATAGGCTTGATACGCATCCACACCAAATCACATATTCTACATGCAAGCTGCCACAAAAACATATATACATATATATATATATTTTTATTTCCCACTTTATTTTCAGTTGAACAATAGATGCTGAAGGAGTGTTACAAATGATATCATGGCCAGAAATTCAGGACATGCGCCCGCAATATATCTCAGCGGTTTTTCCTCTGAAAAGTTATTCATACCTAACAAACGCAAGTTTTAACTAAAAAAATACATTTTGCTTGGTTTTTTGTTTAACTAAAGCAGAAAAATAGATATAATAGGTACTGTCGGCCTTTTACATACCGTTCATTTATTATGATGGGATATAAAGTGATGCGCATGGTAAACGACTCTAATATTTTGTGTATACATCGTTATCCCTCTGTGTAACCCGCACTGGAAGAAAGCCTGGTTCCTAAGCTTCTTGTTGATATCAAACATGGACGACAATTCATTAAACATCGTTCTTCTTGCAATGTTTTACGGTCTACGGACAGGGTATTTATGGGTAAATATCAACATTTTGTCCCGTAAATTGGAACAAGTTAAAAAATTCGTATCACTATGAAATTATGTATACAAGCAGGGGACAACATATATTTTACGACGCGAAGTCTGCAAATTTCACGAAGGGTTCGAGGGATACATGCGGCCAGAGCAAAATGTACGTTTTCAACGATTTTCTCAAGTTTTATTATACTTTATTATACGCCGATGTACTATGAAGTGAACGTGAATAATGGAACAACTTATAGGTAAGATTTCGATGCGAAACTTTTCTGTTTTATGGTCCAGATATAATTTATAATATTGCGAAGTCTGCAAATGACATAGCTATTATCAAACACGTTTAAATTGAAAAAAACCGCGCCACTCCTAATGATTTATATATAACAAATCCGCCATTTTGTTTGTGAAAGTTCGCACATGCTCAGAATCCATGTCCGCAATTTCTGGCCATGTCTTAGAGCACTCATGCAGTCATTTAATACACGCAGTTCATCTTTGATAGAGATAAAAAAGCGTATTGTTACCATGCATTTAAAAACGAAGAGAAACTATATTTACCTCAATATTCTGCAAGGGACCAGTCCATGGACATTCCTTCTTGTGCTTTACAGTGCGGCATTTGACAGTGAACTGATTTATTTCTCTCTTTGCAAAATTGTCGGGATATAACTGTAAAAACATTATGAATAACATTATAGTCGAGAATAAAGGTGAAGCAAACACTTGTACTGCATGGTTTTAACGCATGTTAAAAATAGTCACGCACAAGCTAGGAAAAGTATCGGAACGACGGGACCAATTGTCCCCCAGGATATGTTTAAGTCCCCAGAAAATTTGAAACAATGAAAGAAGAAAAACTGTTAGTAACTACTAACTTCCTGACGAAGGGCCTTCGCTCGAAACGTCGAAGTTTTACTTGTATTGTTCAGGTAGATATATCCCTATATAGCAATCCGGAGCTTTCTTATTATTGGCGCTAATTTTATTGGCACAGACCGTTCAAAATATTACCAGTCATACCTAAGGCCCGTCAAAAATCTATCACCCGACGCCGATGGAGTAAGTCTGAATATGCAGACACAGATGTATATAGGAAGATCTAGAAAGCACTAGGTCCATAATATGCGTCATATTATATGTAACTTAGCGTTTCATTGAAAATTGGATTGATAGAAAAATTTTGCCAACGTTTGTATACCCAAGTCACAATATTAGATCACATGCCTATTGTTCTAGTTTACAGAAGCATAGAATAGAAGAACAGTAACTAAGCTTTAAAATTATCTACACGAGTGAAACAACGTTAGCCAAATTTGTCTATTGGACTTTCAACGTATATTTTCGTACAATTTACTAATGTCGAGTTTCCATAGAATTTCCATCGTTTTTCCCAGCACCAACAAAAAGTTCCATTTCACTTCAAAAATTCCATAAAATATAGACGTTTCCATGAAAGTGGAAAACATTGGGATTAACAGGATTAACTGGATCAATGGTCAAAACAACCTGTCCAAGACGTCCACTACCCCCCGAGATACTCACGTGGCACCCAGATTTTAGGTGCTACGTGGAAGTGTGGCACTAGGGAAGGGTGGGAGAGTGGATATGTGCTGTCAATACAAAAATAGTTTTTGCTCATATATCAAATAGAGAAAACCGAGAGAAAGACAAAAGAAACTCCAACTGAAAACAATAATTGATTATTTTATTTTATTGCCACTAGTAAAATAAGGGGAAATTAATAGCTGTCGCGTTTAGCGGTTTATTAAAGTGCTGTACTTCCCCGTACGTGTTTACTTTATAGCTGTAAGTCAATTTGGGATTGCTAAATTACTACACCTTTTGGGGTTATAAATATTGCTTGTCGCAAATCATCCCCGGGCCGGAGCCCGCGTACGTCTGGGGAGAGAGTACTAATTCCGCACGGCTATTTACACTCGGGCCGGGCATGTGAGAACATAGCGAATGATCTATTTTGATTATGTCATGGACGGTTTTTGATGTTATGCGCATGCGCGAGAACAATGTCTGTTTAAAAATTTGTTTTCAGTTTGCAAAGACGTATTTTGCTGTTTTACAGCATATTGATTTTAATTTAAATTTTTTATTTAAACTGGAAATAAGCCTGCAGTTTCATGAATTATTGGCTGTCAACCGTAACACGACGCTCTTCCGATCTATAAACACGAATTTTGTCGAAGACGAAACTGATAGTTTTAATAATATAATCGTTGTTTTGGCTATGTTTGGGTAAGTGGAAACATTTAAAATTCCGTACCGTACTTGCTTTGTGTCGATTTTATTTACATACTTTATACTCTTTAATATATGTACAAAGATGTTATATGGTTTCGCCATGTGATAATGCATTCCGTGCCTTCTCTCCCTGGGTGGCATAAGAATTTTCGTGAGAGGTAGATAATAAAATTGTGGAATTCTCATTTGCTTTGCAATATGCGCTAGACTCTAATTCAAACATATAGTATCATTGATATTTCAAAAATAGATACGAAACTAGCTGACGCACAAAATTCGTGATTCAATATAGTAAAGTTCAACTGCTTTTGCTATAATTTTCCCATTCCAGTTGTTATATTGAGATTAAAAATGGTTGCATTATCTTTCGATCATGAGCGATCATGAGTTTCTTATATCCAGTTGTTTTATTATCCATGGTATATAGTAGGGCTATAGTAATATATCATATATCATAAATGAGAAAGGGTTTATTGCCAGTATATTAAACACCGAAAAGTGTGTTATAAAACGAGGCGCTATCAATGTTTTTTCCACATGTTATCAATGTAGAGACATGATTTTTTCTGTGTTGGTGTTGTGTACTCAGGTGAATATGATATTTGTGATGTTACTCTGAGTGTATATCCACACCGGGGGAGCTTGAAAAATATGCCCGGCCACGGTGGGATTCGAACCTACGACCTTTGGAATACTAGCCCAATGCTCTTCCAACTGAGCTACGCGGTCAGGACGGTTCGAGTAAGTGATATTTCGGAACAGAATCCAGTTCCTTCGATACCAATGTATTCTAGTAATATGATTTTTTCTGTGTTGGTGTTGTGTACTCAGGTGAATATGATATTTGTGATATCATATTCACCTGAGTACCAACACCAACACAAAAAAATCATATTACTAGAATACATTGGTATCGAAGGAACTAGATTCTGTTCCGAAATATCACTTACTCGAACCGTCCTGACCGCGTAGCTCAGTTGGAAGAGTATTGGGCTAGTATTCCAAAGGTCGTAGGTTCGAATCCCACCGTCGCCGGGCATATTTTTCAAGCTCCCCCGGTGTGGATATACACTCAGAGTAACATCACAAATATCATAATGTAGAGACAGTCAATGTTTTACTTAAAACTGCTCTGTGGCAGCCGTAACTAATGTTCCTAAAGAGAGATGTCCCAGGAAACTTTTCAAGTCATTCACGTCAATAAAACCTGTTAAAGAACATCAATAATTTATGCTTAGGTAAGGTCGATAGGCGTATACTGTAATAGTAGGTCGAGAAGGTTAACCTTCTAGGGTTTAGGAATGTTCGGTATGAGAAATTTCCGGTATCGGTATACCGAAAAAATTATACCGATATTATCGGTATATCGGTTTTCCTTTGATAATTATAAAGGAAAATTCTTTAATGGAAGTTTGAAGGAAATTTTGAGTAATTCTAAAAGGGAAAACGATAATTTCGAAGCTGTTTCGAACATGTTTCGAACGACATGCACGTATTCAGTGTAAAATCTCACTGAAGTGGAAATTCTAAATCATTGCAGTAGAAAGTTCTTTGAATTGCCATTCAGTAGTAAAATAAAGGTTACGGTTTCGCCATATAGTTGGTAAATATAACACGGTATACCGAAAAATTCCGGTATATCCGAAATTCCGGTATCGATATACCGATATTGATTTAATACCGATATTTTCGGTATATCGGTATACCGAACAGTCCTACTAGGCTTAGACACAAGATGCTCGGCAACTTTTCAGCAACTTTTCACTAGGCTTAGACACAAGATGCTCGGCAGCTTTTCGGCAACTTTTGACGTTTTGGACAACTTTTGACACGTTATTTTGTGATTTTTGTCCTTTTCTGGCAGGGTTTTGTCTTTTTTAGCAGTTATTTTTAGTTCTCCTTCTGGTCATTCAAGGTCGAGCATCTTGTGTCTGAGCTTATAACCTTCCGTCTCAAAACAGGATTAGAAAATCGTAGCCTACTACTCAATCAATAGCCGGGTTCCCCTTATTTGTGGTAAATGTATTCAGCAAGCTCCAATATATGACGACCAATTTTATTGACGAGGAGCCATCTACTTCTAATGTTATTTCTCTGTCATCTCAGCCAAACTCTGGTTCTTTTCAGAACTCTTGCACAAGTTTGGTCTCTGGATACCAGTAGAAGGTGGTAGACACCAGTGGAAAACGTTTGTCCGAACAGTAATGTCGAAGGAAATGTTGACATCAACCAGCGTGGAAATGGTTGGATTCGATCTTTCATTGATCTTCCGGCCTTTGAATACGCGTTTATTCACGAGCATTTGGTGGAAAATTCGGAGAATTTTCCTTACCTTTTGTAGATTTCATAGTTTATACACACGAAGATATTTGTATAGAAAGAATTAATTTTGACAAAAAATTATGGAACAAGAACATGCATCCTAAACTCTCAGATTTTTATTTTAAATTTATGATGCCAGCAATTCTAAAGGCATGAGTTCAGTGAAATAAATGTTAATATTGAACGAAATAATTATAACATTCATATTTTTACCAAGGGGTATATATAATAAATCATTACATAACATGAACCAAATATTATAAACTCACAAATATCATGTTTATATGGCAAGTCTTTCCAATGTCACAACAGGTTGCAGCAGCAAAATGTGATGTTTGTGCAACTAACTTACTAGTACTCTTAGACTATAATACTCACTGAAGTCGACTAATGTATGTAGGGCTCTACCACAGAAAAATATACCTCTATGCTAATAACCCTAGGTACAAGATGCTCAATAGATTAAAAGAATCTTGTTTTATTTTATATACCTACTGGTTTTTTGGTAACTTACCATAACAGTTTTCATCTATTATGTATTACCATCACTGACTAAGGGAGGTAAAAAATTAACAAGGTAACAACAAATCACCCAAATTTTATTCAGTTCTGCAATCATGCATGTTGGATACATTCTTTGCAGTATCCTATAGTTTTGAATTCGTTCAACTGCCCGCTCAACATGTATACGTACGGAGGCAATTCTCCTTGTTTTTGTCTCTTCTTCCACAGTTAACTGGTCTTTACCGCCCATGAAGCCTGGAATGTTTAGTATGGTATCTCCGAGACCAAACCCGTGCAAGAGTTCTGAAAAGAACTAGAGTTTGGCGGAGATGGCAGAGAAATAACGCTATAGAAGAAGATGGCTCCTCGTCAATAAAATTGGACGCCATATTGGAGCTTGCTGAATACATTTAACACAATCCTCTGCGGCCCTTCGCGAATAAGGGGAACCGGCTATTGTCTTTTTTGTTATCTTTCTAACTGTATGGGTGATTTTCGGTAAAGACGAAATGAATTTTCATTTTTTAGCTTATAATAGGTAAAATAACATTAACTGATGCATGAGACGATTTCGTTGGGGTCCATATCCAATAATGTTTAAGATGTACTGATGCCAAACTTTTCCCTTTTTCCCTTCTTCCTAAAACGTACAATTGTGAAAATTTGCACACTTTGTGGGATGTTGATACAGTACGTACCTCGTTTTCTTTTAGCTCTTGATTGTCAATTGGGCACGTGCGTCCATTTGTTCTGGAAGGAATGAAAACAAATCACATGTATTGTATGAGGTGACTGAATGCCTGGTAACTTTGCTTTTCGATGGTTTGAAAGCTACTGGTATCCATGAGCAGTACAAATTCGGTTGAACAGACCTTTGACGATATATATACATATATACATATATATACATATATATATATATATATACATATATATACATATATACATATATATACATATATATATATATATATATATATATATATATATATATATATATATATATATATATATATATATAAAAATTAAGGTACAACAATCAACAAAATCCACTAGGCATCTTTATTACTAAATATAGTTTCGTATCACAAAATGTGGCACTCTTCAGATAAATTGACCTAATGACTATAGACTAAAACTTACAAGGTTATATATGTATACAAGTGGATGAGACTTTAAAAAACTTAATCCTATTTACAAACCACGCGATTTAATTAACATGTTATGTGATAAGCTGACAGGACGCGGAAAGATTAACACACCGCGGTATATTTAAATGTCTATACTTTTTAAATGTTACTTAAAAGGAATTTTTGTATCTGCGAAGCAGATATATTGCTATCGCAAACGTACCGTATCGCTAGCCATTCAGCGACGGGCTTATATAACTCAGCCAATTTATGCCAATCAGCGATCAGTTTACATCAATTGTTTACATCGTGCCCGCATCTAACCTGCGAACGGGCATACTTTAGCCTCGTCAGGCCTCGTGTATAAATCGTGTTATTCTTTCAAAAATATCTTGATATTTTTATCAATTTATCTTGAATTGGCTGAAGAGTTTTCTCTACTTGCGATATTATTCTGAAGTTATTTATCAACATGGAATCTTATCCTGATCTGGTAAGTAGTCAAATACCATACATTATAGATTTAAATACCAAATTTGTGCAAATATATATCCCACATATTTAATACATGAGTTCGGCAAATTACTATACTATCTAGTAGTAGTAGTAGTAGAACTTTATTTATCCACGCTGACCCCGTCAACCGTAGCTGATTTTCACGGGGGGCGTGTGCCAGAAAATTATTTTACATGCAGAATATGATAAGGATAAGCTAAGCTATTACAGTAATATATAAATTTAGTTAAAAAAATTTAGTTAAATTTAGTTAATTTGGGTTAACTTTTACGTTCCAGTACTCTAGCATGTGCATGTACAATATTTTAATGTTTTAACTAATGATAAGAAGTAGCATATATTATAAGTAGTATATAAGTAGTAAATAAGTAGTTACATTGTAGATGAAGAGCCATGTAAAATGGAAGGCTACAATAAATTCGTTATTATTATTATTATTATTATTATTATAAAGATATAACAAATGTTTTGAGCTATTTACAGGTAAGTTATATTTACAAAGGTTACCAAGCACTAATGTGAGCAGCGATTTTATTTCGAAAGGAAGAAAGTGACTTGCTTTCCCTAATTTCTTTTGGTATAGAATTCCAAATGTTTGCTCCGTCGTACATAAAACTATTTTTCATGCTATTTGTACGTGGTTTTGGTGAATAAAGACCACTTGAGACATCCCGAAGGTGGTAATTAGTTTTCTCACTCTTAAACGAAAATAGATTTGTGAGTGATTTTGGGCCCATTTTGTTTAATAACTTATACATCATTCTTGCTTTAGTTTTCTTCCTTTCAGTTTGGAGTGGCTCCCAGCCCAAAGTACGTAACGCAATCGTATAATCTACGTCATTGCTTTTATTCAGAATAATTCTTGCCGCTCTATTTTGCAGTTTTTGCAGTCGTTTTGATTGAGTTTCGCCAAATACATCCCATACTTCACAGCAGTAGTCAAAGTACGGACGAACAATAGTGTTATATATCAAAATAAGTGTATCTTGGTCAACAAATGGTTTGATCCGACGAATAGCAGAGATTCCTGCTGTAACTTTTTTGCAAATATTTTCGGTATTACTTTTCCAAGATAAATGCTGGTCAATTGTTACTACTAGAGTTTTGCATTCATGAACTTGTTTAATTTGTATATTTTCAATGTAAACATTTGGGCAAGAATCAGAAATATTTTTGATCATAGGTTTAGAGCCAATCAACATAAACTCTGTCTTAGCTACATTGAGGCTAAGTTTATTGGCTATTAACCATTTTCTAAGGTTCTCTAAATCAGAATTTACTGCAGTCTCTGCAGTCTATAGTTAATATTGCCGTATCTTCGGCTTAGAAACTGTGTACATGAAATGCAGTCTGGAATTTTTTTATTAATATATTACACTGTATAAAATATTGGATATTTTCGAGGATATTTTAAGCCATTTGTCAACATAGTTCACAAAAAGATTTATACAGTAAAACAATCCTTCTGTGACTTCTGTAATATTTAAACAGTCAAAACATAGCAGGCAATATTGTCAATGAACAATACCAAAGGAAACTAATGGTCTCGGGAGATATTGAATTAAATCCTGGTCCTGTATTTCTGTATAAACTCTGTTCAAAACAACAGTCCAACTAAGCTGTCATCAAATGTAGTGTTGGAGGTTAAAGATGTTATCAATACTTATACATTTTGGTTTTACACATTTAATAGAGTTTATAATTAAACAAAATTTTTACAAACATTTTCAAATGCTAATAAAAGAATCCCCATGCACCCTCCCTCCTTTAATATTAATACATTGTTATTTTGCTTTCTAACATAAATGTTTTTGTCTAGAGATTAAATGCAAAAAATGATGAATAAATGTACTGGATATTGGCTAAATAATGTACTGGATATTGGCTAGATAAAGTATCAATGGTATGGATACTGTAATAACTTAACAGCTATAATAATCATATATTATATGGATGGTCAGATCAATGGCACACAATATGTACAAAACTGAACTTGTGATACCTTCTAAACCGATATTCTCCCACAACACAAATTGTTTTTGTGTGGATATGTTGTGTTAAACCGAACAGTGTGGTATATCATTAACTCTGCACAGGATTGGAATTTAATTATATACTTCATGCATGACCTTTAAAACATTCTCTTCGATATATGATGGACTCTTTGCTACAGTATTAATTGCATGTTCCTCGAATAGTTTGTGTATGTTACTCAACAGTTAACGTTTGCAAGTGTGAACAACAAGTGACAGAACTTTTGCTTCATATGATTACAATAAAGTTTTCAAAATGGGTATGGATTGACAAGTGGCAGTTTACTAAATAGACACTGCGAATATTGTTTGCATGAAATATTTTTTGACTGTATAATTATCCGAGTTAAATCATAATCACATAAAATTAGTTAAATTTTGGCGGGTGAGTTGCCCCTGCTGCCCTCGGTGCTGTCTACAGCCTTGTTACATTTGTACTATGTTTGACTTTAAAATCTTATTTCCTATTATATTTATTATAATAAGTGATGAAAATGTGAATCAAAGGTTTTTCGCGGATACATGTACGCGTCGCGTACCTATTTTTTATTATGCCTACATGCAGACACCAACTCATTTCGTTCAAGTGGCCATTTTTGGCTTACAAATAATAAAGTATTTCTCCCATAAACACAAATTACACCGATTTGAAGCACAGTTATAAGGCTTAGCTCGTTTCAATAGTTTCCATTTGATTGTATAATTGATGTTTTGGTTTTTCAATTCCCACACGTATTTGCTTAGTTCGGTAGCGTTCCGTTTGTCAAAAGAGTTGAATGATGCTTTATGGTTTACAAGTCTTGTTTTAAACGAGTTTTCTGTAAGTCCGACATATGTTTGGGGAGGTCTATTTGTTGTTTTGTCCTTAGTAGTGACTGTGGCTTGATATACAACCGATTCAGTGGTACACTTGTTAGATAGTGGGCACAGTTCTTTATTGCTTTTAGGGCAAATACACATGTTAAGACCACTAATGCTGGAAATTGTAGACAACGTGGCTTTGTTGTGTCCATCGATAAAGATGAAGAGTGCCACATTTTTTTAATGTAAATATGCTCTGGTTTTCCATTGAGCACTTTACCAAAAGTTTTTATAACCAATCGAAACCAAATATATATATATATATATATATATATACCGTATATATATATATATACCGTATATATATATATATACCGTATATATATATATATATACCGTATATATATATATATATATATATATATATATATATATATATATATATATATATATATATATATATATATATATATATATATATATATATATATATATATATATATATATATATATTATAGTATATATATATATATATATATATATATATATATATATATTTATAATATAGTCATCCACCGTATATGCGCTGTTCTGCAATCTGATTGGTTGAATTACTCGCCGTATATCAGCTCATATACGGCGAGTAGCGAAAAACAAGATGGCGGTCCAAAAACTACATGAGTTTTGCGAAGCAGAAAAAGGAAAATATTCGCTTTGAAAAACATAATAGTACAAGGAAAAACTCTCAAAAAAATTTGACAGGTTAGCAAAATACATTTATTACGTAGAAATTAGTTTAAATCCAAGTTTTTTGAAGAATTAATACCGAAAAAACAGCGAAAAAACATGTTCATTGAGAATATAAATTGTTCAGAAAAGTTTGCAATGAACGACAAATGAATTTGCAGTCAACAAGCACTTACTATAGTACCAAACATCTGTATAATATATCTGAGCTTTCCTGTGAAATATAGAGGTTCTAAAACCATTTCTTTCACTTCGTTTTCGAGTTGTAAAACAAAAGTATTTCAAATTTTCAAGCGGTTTTTGGCCGAACAAATTGTCAACACATTGTAACAGTGAATAATTAATTACTGCTTCAGTTAATGGCTATATTAGACTATATTATAAAACAATTATACCATTCGCTCTCGTCGTATATGGCTGATAGCCGACTCGGTGCTACGCACCTCGTCGGCTATCAGCTCATACGACTCGAGCTCATGGTATAATTGTTAAATATATATATATATATATATATATATATATA